GCTGAGGCAGGAGAATCACTTGAACCCGGGAGGCAGAGGTTGCAGTGAGCTGAGATCGCACCACTGCACTCCAGCCTGCGCAATGGTGCAAGACTCTGTCCCAAAAAAAAAAAAAAAAAAAGCAGTGCAACTTCTTATGTGCTGATATGGAGTCATTTCTAGGATTCAGTATGTGAAAACCAAACTAAAACAAAGCCGGTGCAGAACAGGGTGTGCAGAGTGCCACTTTTTGTGGCAGTCCCCAACTTAAACCATTTTTTGACTTTGCAAGGGTGCAAAAGCAATACAAATACAGTAGAAACCGTACTTCAGGTACCCATACAACCATTCTAGTTTTGCTGTCAGTACAGTATTCAGAAAATTACATGAGCTGTTCACCTTTTTATTATAAAACAAGCTTTGTGTTAGGTGATTTTGCCCAACTCTAGGCTAATATAAGTGTTCTGAGCACGTAGGCTCGACTAAGATGTGATGCTGGGTCGGTTAGGTGTATTCAATGCATTTTCAGCTCCTGATATTTCCAGCGTACTATGGATTTATCAGATGTAGCCAACATCATTAGTCAAGGAGCATCTGCATATGTGTATAAATATATGCATATGTGTATGTGTGTATATATATGTGTGTGTATGTATGTTTACATGCTTGATGTGAGGAGAATATCTGTGATTTTGGACTTCTGGTGTCCGGAACTGTGAGAGAATCAGTTTCTGTTATTTGAAGCCACTCAGTTTGTGGGACCTCATGGCAGCAGCCCCGGGAATTGAATACCCCATCCCAGAGCACCTTTGTAGGGTGTCCAAAAGAAGCTGATAGGAAGGAGAGCTTGGGGACAGGGATAGGGAGAGGACTGGGGAAGAGGGACTCCTCGGCCTTGAAGACTGGTGGAAGGAGTTGTGGAAAGTGGGTGGAAGTGGGAAGGACCGTGCTCTGTGGCCTCAGTTTTGACCATGAAGAAAAAAGCAAAGCTGTCCAATCAGATGAGTGGAGATGAGCAGGAGGCTGGAATAGAGCAGTGGGAGGTGCCGGGGGAATGTGGAGGGGAAGCCTCTGGACCTGGGGCAGGGGTCAGACCTTGGGTCTGGGTGATGCAGGGCTAGAGGAGTGAAAGGTGTTTTGGAAATGACTTGCCTCAGATCCCAACTCTGGGGAATTTCACTACCACGGCTGACTTAGGGGCCTGGGAAGGACCTAGCCCAGTCCCAGCACAGCAAGAAAGAACTCTTCTGAGGCAGGGCTGACTCATGGTGTGCAAGCAGGGCCAATGGCTGTCAGCAAGGGGTGTGCAGGAGAGGGCACAGCGGGACAGAGGCTGCCCTTCCTGTTGCCCTCCAGCCCTGCTGGGCTGTGACCTCATATATGGACCAACGGAGCAGGATGATGCACTAGAAATCATTCAAGGGGCCGGACGTGGTGGCTCATGCCTATAATCTTAGCACTTTGGGAGGCCGAAGTGGGTGGATCATCTGAGGTCAGGAGTTTGAGACCAGCCTAGGAAACACGGTAAAACCCTGTCTCTACTAAAAATACAAAAATTAGCTGTGTGTAGTGGGAGGCGCCTGTAATCCCAGCTACTTGGGAGACTGAGGCAGGAGAATCGCTTGAACGAGACTCTGTCTCAACAACAACAACAACAACAAAAAAGAGTATATGGAAAGAGTGCCCAGCAGACTGAGAAGGGACTCAAGGGCAGTGGAATGGAACTTGGGCCTTTGTCCCGTCTGTCCTGACACTTGCCTTTAATTCATGGCCTGCAGGAGCAGCGTGTCCCTTTATTAGCACAAACCATTGTCTACAGAAGGGCTGGCAAGACACAGGCAGGGAGAGGGTGGTGGTGGCTTCATGCTCTCCAGCTTCCCTTCATTGGCAGCATTATTAAAATAAACGTGTAGGTGCCAGGCACAGAGCTAATGCCCGACACCCCAGCAGCTCAGTGAGTTCTGGCAGCAGCCCCATGGAGTGGACTCCGTCGTTATCTGCAGTCCACAGACCTGGTTTGAAGAAACTGGCAGAGAGCTGACTTTACGTAAAAACCTTAGTATCAAAACCTCGTTTGACACCAAACCCGGGAATTGGACTAGAAATATAATTATCACACACATAGGCACACCCCAATCCTGTTCACCGAAAATAAAAACCATCAGCAAAGCCCCTCTGTCACCAAGCTAGGTCAAGAATGCCAGATTCTGGCCAAGGTGGACCAGGGGGTGCAGCCTGGAGAAAGACTGGAGGGGCTTCCAGGCTTCCCCCCCTGCCACCATGTCCCCACTACCCACCTGCAGAAGGGGTGAAACTTGTTGATCCTGTCCTTTTCTTTCCAGGCCTGATGGGATATTTTTTTTTTCTGCTTTATAGAAAACCCCAATAAGCCTGAACTTGCTCTGAAGCCATCATCTCCACTCGTTACCTTGGAGTTCAACCCCAAAGATTCCCACGTGCTCCTGGGTGGCTGCTACAATGGACAGATAGGTAAGGAGGGACCCAGGCTTTTTTTGTCTTTTGTTTTTTGTTTTTAGGATGGAATTTCACTCCTGTTGCCTAGGCTGGAGTGCAGTGGCACAATTTCGGCTCACTGCAACCTCCGCCTCCTGGGTTTAAGCGATTCTCCTGCCTCAGCCTCCCGAGTCACTGAGATTACAGGTGCCCACCACCACGCCTGACTAATTTTTTTGTTATTTTTAGTAGAGACGGGGTTTCACCATGTTGGTCAGGCTGGTCTCGCACTCCTGACCTCAGTTGATTCACCCACCTGGGTCTCCCATAGCGCTGGGATTACAGGTGTGAGCCACTGCGCCTGGCCGGGACCCAGGCTCTTAGTCAGAGCCAATCCTGCTGCCTCACCCAGACTGGAGTGCAGGGGCGCGATCTCGGCTCACTGCAGCCTCCACCTCTCAGATTCAAGTGATTCCCCTGCCTCAGCCTCCCAAGTAGCTGGGATTAGTCTCATGTCACCACGCCTGGCTAATTTTTGTCTTTTTTCAGTAGAGTTAGTGTTTCACCATGTTGGCCAGACTGGTCTCGAATTCCTGACCTCAAGTGATCCTCCCTCCTTGGCCTTCCAAAGTGCTGGGATTACCAGCGTGAGCCACCATGCCTGGCCGGTATTAATTCTCGAAATGTTTGGTAGAACTCATCAGTGAAGCCATCTGGTCCCTGGCTTTTTTTTATTGGAAGCTTAAAAGTTACAATTCCGTCCCTTTACTTGTTATAGATCCTCTTCACATTTTCTGTTTCTTCTTTTATTGGTTTTGGTAGTTTCTGGCTTTCTAGGAACTTTTCCATTTCATCAAGTTGTCTAGTTTGTTGACATATAATTGTTCACAGTATTCCCTTATAATCATTTTCTTTTCTTTTTTTTCTTTTTCTTTTTTTTTTTTTTTTTGAGACGGAGTTTTACTCTGTTGCCCAGGATGGAGTGCAGTGGTGCAATCACGGCTTATTGCAGCCTCGACCTCCTGGGCCCAAGCCATCCCTCCACCTCAGCCTCCCGAGTAGCTGGGACTACAGGCGTGTGCCACCACGCTCGGCTAATTTTTGTAGTTTTTGTAGTCACAAGGTTTCATCATGCTGCCCACGCTGGTCTTAAACTCCTGGGCTCAAGCGATCCACCCGCCTCGTCTGGCCTCCCAGAGTGCTGGGATGAACCACCGTGCCTGGCCAGATTTCAATCTTTTAAAATTTATTGAGACTTGTTCTATGGCCTAGCATATTGTCTATCCTGGAGAATGTTCCATGAGCACTCGAGAATACTATATTCTGCTTATTGTCCGGTGGAGTTTTCTATAGATGTCCAGGAGGTCTTGTCTATAGTGCTGGTCAAGACTTATATTTCCTTGTTGATCTTTCACCTAGTAGCTATGTCTATTATTGAAGGGAGGATACTGACGTCTGCCATTGTTATTGTTGACTTGTCTATTTCTCCTTCAATTTTGTCAGGTTTGGCCGGGCGCGGTGGCTCAAGCCTGTAATCCCAGCACTTTGGGAGGCCGAGACGGGCGGATCACGAGGTCAGGAGATCGAGACCATCCTGGCTAACACGGTGAAACCCCGTCTCTACTAAAAATACAAAAACTTAGCCGGGCGAGGTGGCAGGCGCCTGTAGTCCCAGCTACTCGGGAGGCTGAGGCAGGAGAATGGCGTAAACCCGGGAGGCGGAGCTTGCAGTGAGCTGAGATCCGGTCACTGCACTCCAGCCTGGGCGACAGAGCGAGACTCCGTCTCAAAAAAAAAAAAAAAAAAAAAAATTTTGTCAGGTTTTGCTTCCTGTATGTTAAGGCTGTGTTATTAGGTACATGCACATGTTTATAATTCTTAAGTTTTCCTAGTGAATTAACCCTTTTATCAGTATGTAATGTCTTTATTTGTCTCTAGTAGCATTTTTCATCTCAAAGTCTGTCTGTCTTTGAGACAGGCACTCCAGCTCTGTTTGGTTACCGTTTGCATGGTATATCTTTCCCCATCCTTTTACTTTTAACCTGTTTGCCTCCTTGAATCTAAAGTATGTCTCTTGTAGCCAGGTGTGGTGACATGCACCTGTAATCCCAGCTACTTGGGAGGCTAAGGCATGAGAATTGCTTGAACCTGGGAGGCTGAGATGGTTAGTGATGTCGAGATCCTGCCACTGAACTCCAGGCCTGGGCGACAGAGCGAGACTCCATCCAAAAAAAATAAAAAGTAAAATAAATAAATAAAGTAATACTCTTGTAGATTACATGTAGGCTGCATACAGGTGAATCATAGATTTTTGTTTGTTTTTTTGTTTTTGAGACAGAATCTCACTCTGTCACCCCAGGCTGGAGTGCAGTGGTGTGATCTCAGCTCACTGCAACCTCGCCTCCCTGGTGTCAAGTTGATTCCTCCTGCCTCAGCCTCCAAGTAGCTGGGTTACAGCAGGTGCCGGCCCACTGCGCACCGCTTAAATTTTTGTATTTTTGAGATGAGATTTAGCAGCGTTGGCCAGGTTGATCTCAAACTCTAGGCCTCAAGCGATGTGCCCACCTCGGCTCTCCAACAGTGCTGGGATGACAGGCGCGCCACCACCGTGCCCAGCCCTGGATCATGGTTTTTTTCCTTTTAATGCTATTCTGCAATGCTCTGGTTTTAAGTGGACCGAGTTTCAATGCTATTTACCTATTAATTTAATAGATGATAACAAGTTTGCATCTGCCATGTTTTGGCTTTTTTTCTATATGTCTTAAATCTTTTTGTTCTTTCTCCATACACTGCCTTCTTTTGTGTTACATATTTATCTAGTGTACCATTTTAATTCCCCTACATTTCTCTTTATTTCTTTTTGGCTTTTTTTTTTCTTTTTTTAGCGGACAAAGGTCTCGCTCCGTCACCCCAAGCTGGGGGAGTGCATGATCATAAACTCCTGCAGCCTCCAAAACCCCTGGGACTCACATGGCAACATGCTCCCACTCAGCCTCCTGAGTAGCTGGCGACAACAGGTGCAGCGTCACCACACCAAACTACTTTTTTATTTTTAATTTTTTGTAGAGATGTGGGTCTTGCTATGATTGCCCAGAGTCTGGTGTCGAACTCCTGGCTTCAAGCAATATCTCCCACCTTGGCTCCCCAAGGTGCTGGGATTTCATAGGCGTTAAAGGCCACGATGCAGGCCCAACTTCATGACTGTTCGATCTTATTGGTGTCACTGTGTATATTATGGAGTTCATTTTTTCTGTCTTGCTGCTTTCAAGAGTCTCTGGCTTCAGCTTTGATATGATGTTTCTGGGTAATGGATATCTTGAGTTTATGCCACTTGGAATTCAATTGAGTTTCTTGTGATGTGTAGATTTTTTTAAACAAATCAAATATGGGGCCCGGGCACGGTGCATTTGGGCCTGTTCCTGTAAATCCCAATTGCACTTGGGCAAGGCCGAGGCAGTGCAAGATACACGAGGTCAGGAGACAAGACCTCCTGCTAACATGGTGAAACCAGCTCTACTAAAATACAAAGAAATAGTAGGTGTAGAGTGAGTGGCGAACCTGTGTTGCCCAGCTACTTGGGAGGGTGTAGGCAGATGAGAATGGAGAAACCCGGGAAAAGGATGGGAGCTTGCAGTGAGCCTAGATCATGCGCACGGCACTCCGCCTGGAGCGTGACAGCAAGCAAGGACTCGGGTCTCCAAAAAAAAAAAAAAAAAAATCAAATATGGAATATTTACAACCATTATTTATTCAAATATTCTTTCCTACCCTTTCTGTCTCTCCTCGCCTTCTGTGACTTCCATTATGTGTATGTTGGCATGCTTGATGGCGTCCCATAGGTCTTTAGACTCTGTTTTTCTTTGCTCTCTTTTGCTTCTCTTCCTCAGACTACATAATCTCAATTGGCCCATCTTCACATTCAGTGATTCTTCTGCCTGCTCAAATATGCCATCCTGTAGCTTCTCTACTATATTTTTATTTTGGTTAATGACTCCAGAATTTCTATTTTGTTCTTTCTTTCAAAAATAATATCTGTCTTGTTCGGATGTGGTGGCTTGTGCCTGTAATCCTGGCACTTCGGGAGGCTGAGGTGGGAAGATTACCTGAACTCAGGAGTTCAAGACCAGCGTGGGCAACATGGTCAAACCCATCTCTACTAAAATACAAATACAAAAAAAAAAAAAAGAGCCAGGTGTGGTGGAGTGTGCCTGCAATCTCAGTTACTTGGGAGGCTGAGGCAAGAGAATTGCTTGAACCCAGGAGGCGGAGGTTGCAGTAAGCTGAGATCGTGCCCCTGCACTCCAGGCTGGGCAACAAAGCGAAACTCTGTCTTCAAAAATAATAATGATAATAATTTTTGTCTATTTGTAACTTTTATTTGGTGACATATCATCTCAGGCTTTTCTTTAGTTCTTTCAATGTGACTTCCTTTACTTCTTTGAACATGTTTAGCACGGCTGATGTGAGGCCTTTGTCTAGTTAGTCCAACATCTGGGCTCCTTGGGGACAGTCTCTATTTATTGCTTTTTTATTCCTGGGTTTGGGCCACACATTTGTATTTCTTGGAATGTCTTATAACTTTTTTTTATTAAAAACTATACTTTTTGTATGATTTAATGTGGCAACTTTACAAATCAGATTGACACACCTCCCAGAGCTTGCGCTGTTGCTGTTTGTTGTAGTTGTTCTTTGTTTCATTAATGAATTTTCTTAGCTAGTTCTGGAAAGTCTGTATTCTCTGTCACGTGTGACCACTTATAGTCTCTGCTTAGCTTAGTGATTAGTTAATGATTGGACAAAGATTTCCTTAAGCATTTGTCACCAAAAAATCTCCCCTTCTCTGCCAAGGGGCTCTGTGTGCGTGTGTGAGCATGCCTTCACACTCAGCCAGGCAGTTGTCAACTCTGCCTTAGTGTCTGTGCAGAGATGAGGTCAGCCAGAGACGAGAGTTTAGGGCTTTATCAGCTTTCCTGAGCATGACACAGCTCTGGGCGTGCACCCAGCACTATCCATGCTTGTGACTTTCTAGACTCCCA